GAAGGACCAGAAACCAAGCAGGACAGAACAGAAGGTGCAGGTCGCTTATCCCACCTCTCATCTTCTGGCTGCCTTGTGGTACATCTGTTGGCACAGCCAGGCAAGACTCTGGCAGGTGGCACGCGAGGCAGACATATGGCTGCCTAGTCACATATCACAGGCTGATGATAAAGGCAAGGTTTGGGGCTGAGAGACAGGACCTTAACAACTGCTTGGTGCCCTGGACTTCACCTCTCTTCCAGTCAGCAGGATGTGACAAAGAGAATGGGAAGGCCCAGCGGGCCGTGCCCTTTCTGTTGACGCTCACTAGTAGAACTTAGCCACGTGTTGGTTGCAAGGAGGCTGGGAAGCTCTTGCAAGCCTAGGAAAAATGGACACAGGCTTGGTGAGCAGCTGACATTGTCTGCTGCTGGTGCCCTGTGGATACAGGAGAAGGCTAAAGCGGCCCTTTCCAGCTGTGGTTGTTTGGATGGTGGATGGAAGAGCAAAGTGTTATTTCTGGCTGCCTACTTCCATTCTGCCTCAGCCCTGGGTGTCCAGCAGAACCCCCGCTAGCCTTCTTTCCTCTCTTGGCTGTCCTTTTGGGTCCCTAGACAGCTTCCTCTGAGAGGCTCACCATATCTAGTACACAAACTCCCTCCATCCCCCACTTTGTGCCAGTGGTGGTTAAAGTGAGGCTCAGTCTCTGTGTGCATCACCCCCACACTCAGCTGCTCCCACCCATCTCCTACAGCCCTCCCACAGTCCCCTTGGAACAACCCGGGCCCACATCCAGCTCTGAGTGTGCTGCTTCGTGGCTGCTCACTGACCTCAGCTGAGGGAAAACACCCCTCCTCTCTTACCCTCTTCTCGGGGGCAGGTGGGACATGCCCTGGCATACCAACTCCCCTTCGAAGAATCCCTTCCTCAGCCCACCTCCACCTCAGCTCTTGTCACCCTTGAGCACCTACCTCTCATCTTCCTTTCCCAATCTTGGAGGCCACCGGAAGCCTCTCCTGTGACAAGCTGTTACAGCTGCCAGATGTTCGCTACACACTCTGCAAGGCAGAGTGGGCCGGTCTTCCCTTGCAGAGAGCTACTGCACATAAGGGTCCTTTACAATTTTGCTTTATCTTTAACAATCAGGTCAGTTTTGCATTCTATTCCAAACTATGATTGCTTTAAAAGAAAAAAAAAATGTTTTATTCCCCCTCTGGTTTCTGAGTAAAATCAGTGTTCCAGGAAGAAGCAACATGTTTACCCTCTGGCTTCACATCACGCGGAGGGTAAGATCTGGAGCTGTAACTGCTGATTCCTGGGGGACAGATCAAAACGCCACTACCACAACCTAGGGGATTAAGAAAAACGAGTGGAGGGAGCTTAGGACCAAGCTTGGTGGTCCATGAATGGGCAGACAGCAAGGCAATGCTTTCCACCCTGGAATGCCCCAGAGGACAGCATTTCCCCTTCCCTAGAAAGGGTCTGATATATCATATTTACAGTTGAAATTCCATTTACGTCTAAAACACAGACAGGGAAAGATGGACATCTTGTGGGCACATGGTAGCACTACATCATAAGTCTGGAAATAAATACAACTTAATTACATAGTATCACTGAACTGTAGATTGTTAGAGTTGCAGACTAATCCATAAAACACCCCCAGGCTTTTAACATTAAGAATATATATGAGTGAGTTCTCGCTCGATTAGTTCCCGTGAGAGCTTGTTGCTTAAAAAGACCCTGGCACCTTCTCTCTCTCTCTTGCTTCCTCTCTTCATGTGATCTGCTTGTACCCGCTGTCTGCCTGCCGCTTTCCGCCATGAGTAGAAGCAGCCTGAGGCCTGTGCCAGATACAGCTGTCCCAGAATCATAAGCCAAATAAACCTCTTTCCTTTATAAATTACCCTGTCTCAGGTAGTTCTGTTATAGCAACACAAAGGGACTAAAACAATATAGTTCATTTTTTCTTACAGGTAAATGAATCAAATGAAAGAATAGCTCTTTTCATAAAGCAAAAATAAAAGAACTTCCAGAGAACAAATAGCTTTCCATTATGAATTCTCTTTGGTTTCCAGACCAAATCTATTAGCCATTTCAGTGGAAGCATCAGTTAACAAATTAATCAGTCACCTCTTAATTATGTTATATCCCAAAGCTTTAGTTTCAGGAAGTTACCAAGTACATGGGTGGTAATGAGGGAGTGTGGTGAGAACCAAGACTTTTTTAGTTGGACCTTCTAAACAGCTGACTGAACTCAACAGGCACAGGGAATCCGCAAGACCAGCAGCTGGAATGCAGACATTCCTCCAGGTCTTAGGATGCACTGACAGAGAAACACAAAGTTTCTCTTGGAAGTTTGACAAGAAAATGCTTTAAAAAACCAAAACAAACGAACAACAACAACAAAAACCACCTCTTTCACTGCGTAGACTGAAGATATATTTTTCTATGCTCCAAAATGGATGACGACATCAATAACTGATTAATAACTACTCTCTCTGCATAGTAAATCCTATGGACTTGTCTTTGTCACTTTTTACTTAAATTTTAGCTAGTTCTCTTTAAAGAAATACCAGCTCAAAGAGGCCACTTGCTTGAACATTTAAAGACAGGTGTGTGGTTCCAAAAACAGCTCACTACTTTCTGCAGTGTAGACATTAATTTGTTTCCATTGCAATGACAAAACAGGTGTGGGCCATCATGTGGAAAAGAGGAAAAAGGTAATTTTGAGTATTCCTCAATGAGTGGCCTACACCAGTTTCCATTATGAACTATAATCACACCTGTTTTTTGTACAGCCTGCACACTAAGAATGATTTTTACATTCTTAAAAGGTTCTTAAGAAAACAGAAAATGACAAAGACAAATAGGAGGCACAGACCTGTGTGACCTGAAAAGCCTAAAATATTTACCATGTGGCCCTTTACAGTGAGTTTGCTGACCCCTGCAATACAAACAAGATTTTTGTTTTTCTTTAAATGTCTTGAGAACGGGCTTAGAGAAATGTGGGGATAAATGCACTTGCACTTTTGGAGGGAAATACTTATTCTTTTCTACTTTTCAGTTAGTTACCACAAATTCGATCCATTCTGATGTTCATTTAGCACACACTATTGTGCAGCACTTCGCAGTGTTTAAAAGGAAGACACCTCTAAGTCATAAAAATCACTGTCATCCAAATCAAAATGCGGTATTATAAAACTTACTCAAAGCTAAGGGGCAAAAAGGGAGGTGGGCGTTACTTGGGGTTGTAGAGGTAAAGTGTGGAACCTAAAAGGACAGGTAGAATTTCCACATGTAGAGCTGGAAGGAAAGGTGTTCCAGGCGAAGGGACAACATTAGCAAGGGTACAAAGGCAGGAAGGCAGCAGTGAGAATTCCCAGTTCCCAAACGGAAAGTATGTTATGGCTGTGGGTGGACAGCGTGGCAGAGAAAGCTGGTGCCTACTCCACTAAGGTACTTTAGGAAAAACACTCATTTGGGAAACCTGAAATGAAAGGAAGGTTATTGTGATGATAAATTTGTTTGGGATTAGGAGCCAGAACTGGAAAGCCACCAAAATCCATAGCGGTCTCCCTCTTCTGTAATGGGTCACATGGCCTGTCTTCCAAGATGTAGCTGCCTGAGCATCTGCTAACGTCTCCTTTCTCTTTTAATCCCAGTCTTGTTTTCTGCTCATCTGTCTCTAAGGAGAGCCGGGACTTGGGCACTTCCTTAGTTAAGTACAGGTCTGTCTTGCTTGGGTGTCAACGACAGGAAATCCAGCTGTCCTTGGATATCTGGTTCCTCCACTACACGGTAAATGGTGGTCAGAGTGTGTAAGCCAGGGGTGCGAAATTTGTAGAAGAAAACCCATAGAAAAATCCAGACTGTTTTTTTGGAAGGGGTGTTTTCTGTTGCAATTCCCACACTAAGGAGTTCAAAGAGGCTGAAAAGGTCTGGACGTTTACTTAAAACGTGCAATGCTCGTGTTGAAATGCTAAGAAATTTGGATTTTGTAACCAGATGGGAAGCCGCGGGAGGCTTCTAAGCCGGGCACTGCTGGCAACAAACTGTGAGTATTAAAAAGCGGTGGATACGATTATTGGAGATGGGAAAAACTTCGGTTCAAGCGAGAGGATCAGGACCTGAATTTACCCAGTAGCTGAGGCCAGAGCAAGGATTCCTTTTTTTCTTTCCTTTTCCTCGCTTCCAAGAGGTCTCAAAAACAGAACTTGGTAGTGGCTGTATAATGAACAGGAGGGTTGGGCGGGTCACCAAGGATTGGGCCCGGCGCTGCGCTTGGCCCCTGGTGGCTGGAGGCCACCACAGCAGGGGCCCGGGAACTCGCCGGTCGGGCTTCAGGGGCCGCCGCGGCGAGGGCAGTGGAAACACCGCCGAGGAGCCAGACGCCCTCAGAAAAGTGGGCGACAGCAGGCAGAGGGGAGCGGCCAGAGGCAGGAGCCACCGCCAGCGGCGCAGGCCTCGTAGCACGCGCTGAGGCACACGTTTCAGCCACAGGAACGGCTCGGTCTCCCGCCTACCGCCCGGCGCGTCGAGAACCGCAGTCCTCCCCTCTCCTGCTCCGGACCTCGGGGACAGCACGGATCCCTCTGATTATAAATCACGTACTTTCACGTCCCCCACTCGAGGTCCTTCCACTGCAGCAGGCGCCTGGAACTTACGTCATCAGCAGGCCACCTCTCCCAGGGCCCAACTTTTAGGTGTCTACGGAAAGCCTGTTGCAAAGCATGCTGATAATAAAGGATTGGGCCCTAACAGTGGAAGCCATGCACCTTCAGCGCCTCTGCTTTCCTTAGACTTTCCTCTGTGGTCGTCTCGCTGACCTCTTCGCGCGTCTTCAGTCCCTATTTTGTTCAGGCGGCACCTCAGACAGCCCCACGCCGCGGTGAGGGGCGGGGCAAGCCAGGGCGGGGCGGGGTCCTAGCTGGGCTGCGTCGCGCTCGGAGGCCGCACCGGCTAGCGTTTCTGTCCAGTGCCCGAGGCGGCTCTTTCTCCGAGAGCCCTTTGCCAGCTCCACGGGGACTTCTGTGCACGGATGGACCCGCCCGGACCCGGCGGGAAGCGGCCTGGCAGGCGGCGGCCCCGGCGGCATCAGCAGAGGCAGGACAGGGCCGAAGCCGCGGGTCCCTGAGGCGCGCGTGACCTCCGGGCCCGGCGGCGGCACCATGATGCCGGGCGAGACCCACTCGGCGGCGCCCGGGACGGCGGCGGACCTCTCACGCTGTCAGGGCTGCGCCTCTCTGCAGCAGGTGCGGCACCTTCCTGGGGCCGCGGTACAGCAGGGCGGCGGACCTCTCACGCTGTCAGGGCTGCGCCTCTCTGCAGCAGGTGCGGCACCTTCCTGGGGCCGAGGGGGCCGGGATGTGGCTTGGCCCGGCCGGCCGGGGCCGCGCGGGCTGCACCTCAGCGCTCTGCTCCTGCCTCCCGGCGGGAGCTCCCGCTAGCCTGGCTTCCCGCTCCCTGTTCTACAGTTGTTTGGGGACGGCTTCCTTTGCTTTATATCGGCTTGGACACCAGCATTTATTTACCGGGATGCGATTGTGGCGGGGGGAGAAGTGAGCAAGTTCTGGGGGCCCCTCTCCTTCCCTGTCCAACCTCGGGGCTCCCCAGGGCTGAATTTGAAAGCTGACGAGGGATAGGTGAAATGCTGAGAGTAGTTAACCTCTCTGGGGATAACGTGTTTGACCGTCTGGCCCATTCTAAATATCTGTTATTTGGAGGTAGGACCTTCTGTGACATGTCGGTTGTCTGGGTCATTAAGCTCCACGGCTTTGAGGAGGCATTTCAACTCATGTTTGATGTACCATCCTTAGGCTAATTGTTCAAGCAAACCAAATAATTGATTAAGTCAAGTAATGTCATTTCGATTAAAGTAATTAAAGGCATGCAGAGACTGGAAGTAGCGACGTTGGAGTGTTTGTTGGTTCCAGGTATTATGGTGTAGCGGAAATAGTACCAAGTACATATTTCAAGCCACTGGCCTAGCTGTCTTGATGTCGGGAGGGTCATTTAACTTATGAAGACTGTCTTCAACGATGAAATGGAACTCACCACCGCAGTAGTACCTCATGTAGTTATCATCTACTCAGTGTTAGGCACTACGGACGTTGTGGTGAACAAAATAGGCGAGATCTGCTCTGATAAGTAAGATGTACGTGTGCAAATAAGACTTTAGAGGGTTTTAAGTGTTAGGAAGAAAATAAAGGAGGATGTTGGAATGGTGGTTTTGTCTCTTGGCTGGGGGGGGCAGGTAGGGTGCTTTTGAGGTGGTGACATTCAGAGGTTTGAATCATGAGAAGGAGCGGACTGTTCGAAAAGGTGTGGGAAGAACTTTCTGAATAGAAGGATTAACAGGTGCAGAGGTGCCTGTGGTGGGCAGGAGCAGGGGTCTTTAATAAGCAGAACATGGTCTGGTTGGCAGGAGCATAGTGCTGAGGGGAGATGGTTGATTGGGTGACACCAGAAAGGAATGCAGTCTAGTTAGGCCACGAAGAGAAGCTTATTTTTTTTTTTATTTTAAGTGCAGTGTCTGTGAACTGATTCTAAACACTTTAAGTGTTGGGGGCAGGGGAGGGAGGAAATGTGCTGGCATTCTGGGTAGGAAAACTAATTGTGCAATCCTTGTCTTGGTTGATCTGCATTGTGTGGGTATCTTATGATGTGCTTTTTCCCTCTCTCAAACCCCCAGGAACGTGAGTAGAATTCTCCTGAATCTTTAATAAATTGTATTTATTTTTTGAGCCGGTTCGTTCATTCAACATATCTATTGGTTACCTGCTGTGTTTTAGTCACTGCAATTACAACAGTGGGAGAAAAAGACAATTCTTGACCTCCTGCAGCTTCCATTCTTGGGGATGGGGGACAAATAAATAAGTTACTTTAGAAGGTAATAAAGACATTGGTGATAAATTGAGCAGAGATGGGAATGAAATGAATGGGTGAAGAAGGGGCCAGTGGCTGTTGGAATCTAAATAGGGAGTCTTGAGAAGTTTATATTTGGACAAGGGGGATGAGAGAATGAGCTCTTGATATCTTGGGAGAAAAGCATTCCAGGCAATAGAAATGTCAGGTGTGGTGGCCTGAAGTAGGAAGACCGGTGAGGCTAGAGTGGAGTGAGTGCAGGGAGTCTGATATGATCAGAAAGGTAAGAGGAAGGCCTGATCGTGGGGGCCGTATAGATCATTGTAAGGGTTTGGGTTTGTCTGAATGAAATAGGGAGTCATTGGAGATTTGTACAGGAGAAAGAGAGAATTGTGCTTTTCAGTCATTGATCTGATCTTCCTATAAAAACCCAGTCTGCACATAGTAGTCCCCATCTTAGTTAAAAGTAGCAACTGTATCCTTCTGGTTGCTTAGGCCAGAAACTAGGTGTCATCCCAATCTTAGTTAAAAGTAGCAACTGTTATCTTTCTGATTGCTTAGGCCAGAAACTAGGTGTCATCTGAGATGCCTCTCTTTTCTCTCACAACCTGTCTTCAATCCATCAGCTGATTCTGTTGGCTTTACCTTTATTTTATTCACCCACTTTCCACCATCTCCACTGCTTCCACCAGGGTGTAAACTGCTCTAATCTATGGCCTAGGGATTATTGTATTAGCCTCCCAGAGAGTCTCCTTCCTTTCACTCTTGCCACATTCCCACTGTTCTCAAAACAGCACTAGGAGTAATCCTACTATATCCGTAGATCCAAGGTCTGCAAACTTGTTCTGTAAGGGGCGAGATCATATTTAGGCTTTGGGGACTTGTTCACAACTACTCAGCTGTGCTGTTGTAGTGTAAAAGTAGCCTTAGATAGGAGGAGGGCCTTAGTGCGCAGAGTTCTTCTCCACGTGAGGACATGCCATTGCATTTGTGTTTTGTGTGGCTTGGAATTGGAATGCTTTTTTAGGGGAAAAGGGTGGTCAGTTGTGAGTTATGTTGACCTAAAAGAATAAAAAGACAAAAATATAAAACAAAGAGTTTATTTAGTCCAAATTTTCGAACTGCAGCTTGGAAGAGACAGACTTAGGTTGCCCTGAATATGTGTTTTGTTTGGTAGCAGTTACAAACGGATTTTTAAAGGAAGAAAGGGAGAAATGGAGGGGCAGTTTCAGAAACGTTGGCCAAGAATTTACATTGATTCATTAAAGGAACATAAGCTACTAATTGGCTATAAATTGCTCTTTGTGTCATAAATTCCAGGGACATTGTAAGAAGTGAATGAGGATCACTGTACAACTTATGATAACCTTTGGGTAATCTATACCTGATGGTGGCAGCTGAACGATAGTGTTAGGCTATTTAGCCTCTTTCCTGAATTGAACAGTTGTTTGTACCGGAAGTCTTCCTTTCATGTCTTTCTTCTCCCTACCCTTTTCTTTTTTTCTTTAGTGGTCGAAGAGATTGCCTTTGCTAAGATTGCTTGATTCAGAAGTGTGTAGATTGACTGCATTTTATGCATTTTTTTTTTTTTTTTTTTTTGTCTCACAAATCATATCATCTGTTTTCTCACCCTAATTGATTACAGTGATTTCTCCCTTCTCCCTGACCTATATAGCCCAACAACATCCATGTGGGTTGCGGAATTTTGGTAGTCATGTAAAACAATGTGGGTCCTTACTCTGGTGATATTGTGTGCAATTCAGCAAGTCTTAAGTTGTGTAGTTTTAAGTCAAGCTAATCAGACTGACTTAAGTCACTTTATTCTGGTGAAGGAGTAGGTTCTTTTGCCCAGCTTCACAGCAGAGCAAAACAACTGGACTCTCTTGGGAATCCAGATGAGAGTTTGAAACACATGGTTATACTGTTCACTCATGTAACTAGATTAGATTCAGTCAGTTTGGTGTTTGGCTTCCTTGGGACAGATTTGAGCCTATTATTTACATAAACTTGTACTGGATTCTTACTTATGATTGCCAGTGATTTGAACTTGGTTGTTTGGAACTTGAAACATATTTTCCCCTAGACACATTGATTTATAAAGGTTTCTGTTACAAGGAATGCTCACAGAAATGTAATTCATTCACTTACCAAACACATTTATTGAGTACCGATGTATACATGATGCCATGCTGTGTTTTGGAGTACAGCCATGAACAGAAGAGGCATGGAGCTCATTCTACAGATGAGTGAAAAGGAAACCACAGTGTAAGTATAATGTAAGAAGAATTATGGTGGGGGCTATACATGGTACTCTGGGAGTGCGTAAGAGGGACAACTGTACAGGACTTGTGTGACCTCTATGAAGTCCTCCTAGAAAAAGTGAATCTAAATTGAGGTCTGAAGGATGATTTGCCGTTAACTAATAGGGAGGAGATGGTGACAGAGTGTTGCAGGCAGAGGGTACAGCTTGTGCCAAGGCTTGGAGGGGAGAAAGCAGTTTATGATAGATGAAGCACAAAGGAAAAAGTAGGGCCACTGAAGTTGAGGCTGTAGGGCTGGACTTTGCCTTCCAGGACCCAGAGCCACTCAGCTTATTTTGCCCCCTTGCTGCCATGTTCCAGTCCACTCTACGCCAGAGGAAATCAGAGGGATCCTAATAGCTGAGGAGACACACTCATCTCAAATAAAGATCAACTGTAGGCTTTAATTTTTTAAAATAAGAGCAGTTAATAAAAAGTTAGCCAACAAGGGTAGGAAATTTGGTTTATCAGAGAGGAGTCAAGCTGAATGATTAGCCAAATCACCCCAAGGAAAGGAATAAATGTGATCAGTGTGATTTTTAAAAATAATTTATTTTGAAGTAATTTCAAACTTACAAGAAAGTTGTCAGAATAATACAAAGAGCTCTGGTATTCCCAAATTCTTGATATGCACACACATGCACTATATCTCCCCTACATGTTCTAGGGTATATTTCCTAGATATATGAACACTTGGCAACATAATTGGCCTACAGCCCTCCATATCAAGATATTAATATCAGTGTGGCAGTTCTCTCCAATCCAAAGACCTATTCAGATTCTGCTTGCTGGCCCAGTAAAACCTTTTCTTTTCTGATTCAAGGTCCTGTCAGGAATATGTGCTATATTTCATTGTCATGTCTCTTTGCCTCCTTTCATTTAGTCTTTGTCTTTTGCGTTTGTGAAAATTTAAACAGTAGACCTTTGCATTCCCCAGGGAACATTTGGCAAGGTCTGGAGACATTTTTGGTGGTCACACTGTTGTGAATCCCAAAACCACACCCAGTTTCAGTGATTTGCTAGGACTACTCATAGGACTCAGTGTATATACTCATGGGTGTGAATTATTACAGTGAAAGAATACAGAG